TTTTTTGATTTTTTAACGTGACCATATTATATATTCTAGACACTTTCTCTGCAATAATATTTTTAGGAGCCCTTAGGATTTTTTGTTGTAGACTCTCGAAATCTTGTTCTTGTTACAGTTGCTAATAATTAAAACATGTGCAGTAACAAGTTCATCTGTTGAATTTCTGGTTGTGAAATACGTATTTTAACCCTTCACAGCTAAATAAACCCAGTGTATGGTCGCGTTAAAAAAATGGGATCAAGAAATCGTCCAGGGCTATTTTTCGGCAGTTTTTAAATTTATTTTTTAAAACATTTTGTCATAATTTATCGGACATTTCAATCGTTCCTGACACCTAAATCAGTCTATTCATGGAGCTAAAATAAGATTATTTTAGCTCCATGGTCTATTTAAGTTTTTATTCAAGAGCGTGTTTATTTTGACTAGCGTAAGCTCCCTTTGGACAAAGAGCTGTTATCACTGTAAACAATGTTAAATTATTCTTCTTATGCTAAGTTCATCTTTGAAAACAACTATTTTTTTATTTAAAAAAAATCACGTCATTTTCCCATCAAAATCCAAGCCAAAAGAGCGTACTACAACATCGGCAAATCTTTTCCGCGTTCCGTTCAATAACATTAACATATTTAAATGAGCTATGGTGATTTGAACGCGTTGGCATCATCCAGCATTTTGATTGGTTAATTAGCGATTTGACCTATTAGCTCAACTCACGCAAGAGAAACATGGCGGATACCCTACCGCATCGAGCGTTTATATGCGATCGGAATCATTTGCTTACGATGAAACTAAGTTGAATTCTATTTGAATCAACGAATTTATTTTTTGTGTGTTATTATAATCACTACTGAATAATATTCAACGGGCGAATTTACGGCAGAATCCGGTATTATATAAAGAAAGTATTATTATGGACATCTTGCGCATATTGCCGATGTTTTATACTGTTTGTAGTTTGCACATGAAAGTGGTTGTTGATGCCCCTCCTATTATTCAACGTCGTTGACAATGCGATAACAATGCCACTCGCACTGTGCACATTTTAGCACTAGATCTAGTACCATTTTAGCACTAGATCTAGTGCCATTTTTGCGCTTGATCTAGTGCTTTTTCGGATAGTGCTACTAGCACTAGCCACTCGTACTACGCCCATTTCGACACATTTACATACATGCAGGGCTGGTAGCTT